TTTAGGATAAGTCTGTTTACAATTACAATAAAAATACCTTCAACCTTCATATCTTTCCATTTTCAGTGAAAAACAAAATACCCTAACCAAACATAAGATATTTGGGGCCAAGTTACTTCTTTGTAAAAATAATTTATCATGTGTTGATCGACTTTTTAAACCAAACTCTTAAAAGCATTAAAAAAATTGTGTTTTACAGCTGTCGATGCATTCACGTTGGTTAGTAAGAAGTGAAAAAGAAAAAAGTGTAGAAACAAAAAAATCTCAAACTATCCCAACTCCAGAAATAAGAAATTTTCAAATTAAGAAATAACCTTTGTTGCTTAGAAAATAAGTACTTTTCATCTCAAACTCACTCTAAATGCTTGTATAATTCAATACCTAAGAAGACTCTAGGTAAATTATTTTGTAATATTTATAGGATGATACTTCTCTGGGTAGGCATATTTTACACAATAGCTTCCAATTAATGCGGGAAAAAAAATCACTTGATAATTTTAATAATTAATGATTGATTAATGGATTAACATTTTTCTCAGTAATTCAGATGGCATAGATCCAACAAAGGGAACAAGGATTGCTCAATGTGAAATTCTGTCCATTCGTAACACTAAGCCAAAAATTTGCAGATACTCCACTCAGATTACATGTTTTCATGTATGTAATTTGAACAAAAAAATAGGTACAAAATGTCGAGCTTTCTCCTTTTCTTTCTTTTTCGTTCGTTCTTTCTTTTTTTTTCAGAGCAGTTCAATGATTTTGGGGGTTGGTTAGTACAATACAGAGAACACAGGGGAAAGCACAAAATGGCACTTAACACCACTGCCAGTACTCATCTCATTACAGTTATAACTAAGGATAATATTACCTTTTGTGTTATTTGCTTTTCTTCAGAACATATATCAAAGCCATAAACTTGAACTTGAGGTATATATACAATAGATACACAACCTTATGCAAAATACTTTTCATAAGTAACCTTACATTTTAAAATATTGGAAACTGAATATCTGTGCTGATTTGTATTCTGACTTAATGGAACAAGAAGAGAACAACATTCAACTAGGGAGGCCTATACTGACAATAAAGCTCTTAAAGTTAGAAATGTCTCCTTCTCCCTTTGTACTTACCACAGGCTACACAATGTCCTGAGAGGATTCATTATGAGAAAAATGGCAATCACAGCTTTAAAGACCTTGCTTTGGAAGGGACTAATGAGAAAGCAGATTGGAAAATGAGACTTCATCTTTGTTCTCAAATAAGTGGTCTTAATTATTCTTCTTATAGAAAAAGTTTAAATCAGTTTATTATAAATATATCTAAACCATTAATTTTTGCAGCTTTCAGATAAAGTCCAGCACTTCGTTTATACAAAGTCTATGAGAAGAGGTCAGTAGAGATCATCTAATCTTAAGTCGTGACATCATCCATTCAAGTCCTTGGCATAATCTATAAAGAATATAAAAATCACTTGATTAAATTCAACTAAAAAACTATGAACAACAAACTAAAAGAAGATACCATTTTTCATTTACCTAAACAACAATGATTAAAAAAATCATTAATACCCAATGTTGGTGTTACTGTGGTGAAGCCATACTCTCATACACACATCCATGCTTTTTTTGGTTCTTTTTTGTCTCTAGTGCCTAGGACACTGTCTGACACATAAAAGGAGCTGAGTAATTATACAATGAATATCCACAGAAAATAATTTAGCAATGTGTATCAGAAATATTTAAAATATCAATACTCTACCTTTTTTCTACTTCTAGAAATATATTCTAAAAAAGCCATCAGACACAAGGACAGGTTGATGTATAAGACTGTTCAAAGCATTTTTAATGGGTAAAGGTAAAATTTAACTACTTAGAAATAGAGAAAATTAAATTATAGAACATTCATATGATAAAATATTAAAAACTTCCTTTCGAAGACTATATTACAGTATGATAAAATGCTCACGATATAAATGAGGTAAAAGTGGCAGGATACTAAACTAAATATGTAGCTAAGCTGCTAAAACAAAGTATATTTGTAATATGTATATTACATCTGTATATTTAAAAAATTTGAAGGAAATAAAGTTTCTCATCACTAATACTAGTTACTATTGAATAAGGTGTAATTGAACGCAATACAAAATACAGAAAGAAATGTTCACTATGATAAAACAAACTAAATGTTTACCAAGAGTAAAATTATATTATAACAAGAAGAAAGACTGTTAAAGACTGTTATATAATTATCTATGAGGAAGTTTGATAGGTATGAGAAACCATGCTACCGCACTTAATTGAAAAACACCACAACCCAGATTTTTTGTGGAAGTATGAATCTAATATTATAAAAGAAGAAAAAAAAAGAAGAAATCAAAATGAGGTTAAAAAAAATGGTTATTTCGGTGTTGGCCCATACTTTCCCTCCTGTTACCAGATTCCTTACTTTTAAACTACTAACAGGAAATGGTACAAAAAATAAGCAAACAGATTAACTCCAAACTGTTAAATGAACAGAAGTTACCTAATAGCAAACTAGAAACCATGCTAAGCATTTAATATCCATTATCTTAATCTTTACAATGTTGAGACCAGAACCCTTCCCATACTACAAGAGGGAATCCAGGCTTAAAAGATGCTAGCAAATGGTAGAGGTGGGGGTCAAAATGCCAACCAATACTAAAACCAAGAATTTAGATCAAGGTGGCTAGACTGCAGAAGGGAAACATTTTCACCCAAACCAAACATTTCCACTTGATAACTAGTGCAAAGGGAAGCCCCCATAAACCCAAAAATTGAAAAGATAAACGATCATTCATTGATTTCCTCTTTTAAGAATGAAATTGCCAGGGTTCATATCCATCCTAACTAATGATGTATTTTCCACACAATTACTCAAAGTATGTAAGTCAATCATCTACCAATTCTAGATGATCTTCTTTGCTGTCAAATTTATTAAAATCAGTGCTTTTGCTTAAAGACCTTTGGTAGACAAAGACAATGTATAAAGATATATCTATAACTATAAATGTATCTTAACATGTATTAAATTATTTGACAAAGAAATATGCAATGGATAAGGTATTTTTTTTTTTTACCTAAATGAGGATGTGGACAATTGGTATTATTTGTGACTTTTTAAAATGCACATATTTGCTTTCTTAAGGTTCTAATTATGCTCTATCAAATGTCTGTCATCAGGTAATACTGCCTTCTAGTTCACTAAGATTCAGCTTCAGCTCCATTTAATTCGTTTTTTCTCTGCTTTTAAATACATACATGAGGGATTCTAAATAGAGGTCTTAAATTTGGGGTTGAGGTTCTTCTGATGTTAGGTTAAGAGCAGAAGCTTGAGGCAGACACAGATGAGTTAGCTGAAGTGAGAAATTCTCTTCCTCACAAGACCAGGGTAAAGGGTGAACCAATATAACGGATTACTGAAGCTATCTTATCTCTGCCCCGAGCTTCTGCCCTTTCCAAGTACCTGAAGAACCTCAACTTCAAATGTAAGACCTCTAATTAGAATCTTCATCTCCAATTTATTTTTCACTGCTTTTAAATATATACAGATCCACCATATTTTGGAAAAACTACACCAAAAATCTTAATTTGCTCATCTTTCTAGCTCTGTATCCTATTTCTAACCTCCTTTATTCCATCTCTCCTAATAGCATTCTCTCCATCCTCCTGATCCTTGACCTTACATTTGACAATGCTGACAACCACATCTTTCTTGAAATCCTTTCAGGTCTGGGCATTAGACTAGGGCAAAATTCTACTGTAGGCACCTACCTTTCCTTCCCAAACCAGGAACCTTCATGCCACACTCTCTCCAATTCTAACTTTTTTTTTTTTTTTTTAAGTGCAGCGACCTCCTCTTGACAAAATGAGTGGCAAAATGGTAGCAAAATGAGTACTCCCAAATTAGTCTTACATTTGAACCCTTTTCTAGTTCAGCTTCTTTATGGATAAAATGCAAACTAAAGACACTTGGTCCACCAGATTGTTACGAGGAATAAATGATACACCTGATACATGATACACCCTATGAAAAGCACTGGAGACACAGACTTGCTACAGTGTTAAATCCCACCATCAGTGCACAGTTTCCTGACTTGTCCAGCTCTCCTTCACACTTCCATTTCCCTGAACCCCTACAGCAACTCTATCATCTACACGTTCACATGGATTTGTTCAGTATGTTCATATGTATTACGTGTATGTTACAGGTTTTATTTATAGAACCAAGGTAAAACTCTAATTATAGATACAGATTATCCCTTACGTTGTTTTATACATGGTAGCCTTAAATATTTATTGACTTTAAGAAAAAATACATGTTTGTAAACTAAATACATGTTTTCTAAAAGACCTCTTACCCCTCGCCAGTAAGAGCACAGCATGCTTGGATATGCCACTGGTGATCTTTAATAGAAGTTAATTTCAAAAACTGGGAGATTTCTGCTACAGTCATGCATTCTTTAACATCTTGTTTATTAGCAAAAATCAGCAATCCAGCTTTTCTTAGGTCCTATAAAAGCAAATAAAACTGTAAAAGGGCCAGTGCATTTTTATTCACAGATTTTCCAACTTAAACAAATACTTTTGACAATCTTTTAACCTAGAATTCGACTACCTGACATAAAAGCATCTCACGGCTCTGATGCTGATAGATGGCAAACTTAAAACTAAGCACATTTTAAATAAACACATCTGTATTTGTATGGATTTACGTATTTCTTCTAGCCCTAAATTACATTTTTTATGGTCCCAACTGCTATATTTACCAATAGTCATGACTTCAAATACATATTTACCCCTTCCCCTAATCCAAAACTAGGTTTCCATGGCCAAGAGCTACTCTTTAGCCTGGCACTCCAGAACTTTTCAAAATTTTACCCCTATCTATTCTTTAGGTACCCATACCTAAAGCTAGTACCTTCTAGGTGCCTAGGAAACACACCATGTATGCCTTAGGGCCTTAGAGCTTAATTCTCAGTTGAGAATTGCTATCCTAAACCAATCCTATTTTTCTGAGACCTAGCTCCTTTTTGTCCATGTAGATTCCTTAGATTTGAACATTCAATACGGCCATTTTGGACTGGCATTAAACTTATCAAATTTCCCAATTAGACAGTAAGTTCTACCACTTCTATGTTCTGCCTCTGAAGCAAATTCTTTAATCTTACTGAATTTGTTCTTCATAACATTTATTGAGTATCTAATCTGAGCAAGACACCCATTATGTTAACCATTTTCCAAATAAAATCTCTTTTAATACTCACAGGATTCCTGCAAGGTAGGCCTTACTATTCCCATTTATAGATAAGGAAACTAAAACTCAGCAGTAAGTAACTCATACAAGGTTATACAGCTACTCAATGACAGAACCAGGTTTGAGCTGAGATCTTCCCACTATACCTGTTGCACCTCATCTATAAAATTCTGAGACTATCACCTACCTCCTGCGGATATAGTTTGAATGAATGAACTACTACGTGAAAAACACTCAGTTCAGTACCTGGCTTCAGGTAACAGTTCAGTAAATGTTAGTTCGCTTACTGTCCTGAAAACATGGATCACCTTTATCTTTGTGCATACCCCAAACTGACTGGTCTAATGTTTTATTCACAAAGCAGGCCAATGGTTAGTCATCGCCTTTTGCTCTATCCTACCCTCTCCTCTCCCATTTTTAAAGACGGAAACTTCTTTGATAATCTGCTGAAAGTCATGGACCTTTTCCTCATAAAAATGTATATATGTATATACGCAAAAAAAAGTTTATATGTAATTTTAGGGTGTTAATAGATACTCTAAAGTCCATTCATGGATCCTGGATTAAGAACCCATGATAGATGCACTCATATATATGTGTGTGTATAGATACACGCGCGTGCGCGTGCGCGCACGCACACACATATGGAGAGATACTGAGAAAACTAAGGTTTTGGTGCTGTGCTTGCAAGTTTTCTCAACTGTGCAGAATGACATCTTTATAGGATATTTTTATTTCAATCGTGTGTATCTGTGTCTGAAATAAGAAAGTCTTTAGTAGATACAAATTGACATTGCTCCACATTATTTTACTCTTATGAGAACATAGTTTCAACAATTTATACGATTTTATTTCTGATGTGAATAAAAAATATAAATAGCAAAATTTCTTATTTGTTAAAAGGAGTCATGCAAAATGTTTTATACAACAATCATGACAGACTTTTAGCTACAGCGCCCTCTCCAGGATGGCAGCTATGCTACCATGGTTAATGACAGTTACCTGAAAAACAGGGTCAGAAAAGGATACTCTAGAATGTTAAGTTTTAAGATTTTATGTTCAATTTATTTCACCTATGTTCAGTTCACCTGTCTTATAAACAAGGCAAAAAGTTGAAGGGATGGGCTATAACCAGGATATCTATTATATTCATTATCAAGGATCAAGTACTTTTTCTCCTACCCTAAACGGAAAATAGCATACTTATCAATAGTTGATATGTGGCTGGATCACTGAGTAGATGGACTTTCCATGGAATGTAATCCCTATCTTCCTATCTCCCAGGTTTCAATACCTCTTACTAGTATATGCTGAAATCTTATATAGGTCAGGACTGCTAATGCTGGCATGTTTAAAGAGCACATTTCTGACATTAGAAATACCTCGCACAAGTTGAAACACAGTTTATGCTATTTTATTTGTATATAATCTTTTTTTTTTTTTTAATTTTTTTTTTTTCAACGTTTATTTATTTTTGGGACAGAGAGAGACAGAGCATGAACAGGGGAGGGGCAGAGAGAGAGGAAGACACAGAATCGGAAACAGGCTCCAGGCTCTGAGCCATCAGCCCAGAGCCTGACGCGGGGCTCGAACTCACGGACCGCGAGATCGTGACCTGGCTGAAGTCGGACGCTTAACCGACTGCGCCACCCAGGCGCCCCTATTTGTATATAATCTATACTCATCACTCTTAGTGATGAAATTATTCGAAGAAGCCCCTGGACTAAAAATTGAAAAACAAAAAATAAAGCCATTCTATTGAAAGATTTCAAAGTAAAACCCATATTGAATATAATTTTTCTAGATTTCATAGGTTCAAGTTTTTTTATTTGGGGTTCTTGTTTTTTTTTTCATTTTTTTTAAGTTTATTAATTTATTTTGAGAGAGAGAGCGCATGTGCATGTGTGCACAAGCAAGTGGGGACAGGTAGAGAGAGAGGGAGAGAGATTCACAAGCAGGCCCTGCACTGACAGTGCAGAGCCCGAAGCAGGGCTTGAACCCATGAACTGTGAGGTTATGACCTGAGCTGAAACCAGGAATCTTAAATGACTGAACCACCCAGGTGTCCCAGGTTTCTTGTCTTAAAAAAACAAACAAACAGCTATTTTCCCTATTTTTAAGCAGTATTTAGGAAGAGAAGAAAATCTTCCTTTACTTTTTTTATTAAATAACTTCAGGATCAATTATACATTACGCTAACAGAAAAGAGATATATTGGATTAAGGCTGTTCATCAACTGGACTTAGCAAGAGGTCAAAGTACAAGGTGAACAGTGGTGATTTTTATCTATTAGCCATTTTAAACTTTGAAAAACTTTCTGCTACCTGTTACAGATTGTTGTTAAGAGTCTAAAAATATTTTTTCATTTAGTGAAGAAGATGAATAATTGCAGCACACGCAAGACATATTTATTTAGCATCTTCCATATGCCTTATGCAGTTGTCAATATGTTTCTCCAAGCTTCATTTGCAAAGATAATTCCTAGAAGTTGAGTTACTCCAAATAAAACGTCATCTACCCTTTCGTGTTTGGAATGATTTTAAAATTCATGAGCTTCAAAGTTTTGCACGTCATTTAAGATGAAGCTTTTGGAAATATTTAAAATCATTTTATAGTTTTATAGTTTTGTATTCAGTAATACAGGTAAAGCATCATTAGTGATGGTAAAAAGATTTTGTTGGTTGCTATGATATATATGAAACATCTGACTAACCCCATGTCAAAATTTGTCTTTCACTCACACATTCTCATTCTTTGATCCATTTGCCCCTTTTCAGATTTCTGCCTATTTGGCTCTTTCTGACCCTATTAATTGGTTTAATCCAGCTCCCAACTTCATCTGTAATTCCTTTCTTCTCTGGCACTCTCCCCATTCAGTCTCTTTCACTTTCCAACTAGGCCTTATTTCTGTCTTTTTTTCTTTTCTTCTTAGCAAAGAGTCTGAATAATGAGAATATTTAAGTTGAAATCCTGGCTCTTAAAAATCTGGTCAAGTCAAATAAATTTTCAGGACCTCACTGTACTCATCCATTACAGATGAGTAACATCCACAAGAGAGGAAGTGACCAGCTCAATTTAATGTCCCCAGCTAGTAAAATTCAATGACTTTGAGTCCTACTACTGAGCTCTTTGACTGCTATATATTGGCCAATTAGAACAAGGATCAAAGAAGACTATCTGTTAAGAGTTTAAAAAACATACTCAAGATACAAATACATTTGTGTCTTCTTTTTCTTTTTCCTAAATCTTCAAACAACAACTCCTCGGTGTAAAATACAAAAGGAAAATTAAAAAAAAAAAGAAAATCCTTAGTTTTCTACCTTTTTTATAGTTTATTTTTTGTTTCCCAAACTAGAATCAAAACTCGTTAAATGCATGAATAGCAACAGGTATTATCTTTTTTAAAAACCCAAGGGGTGGGGCGCCTGGGTGGCGCAGTCGGTTAAGCGTCCGACTTCAGCCAGGTCACGATCTCGCGGTCCGTGAGTTCGAGCCCCGCGTCAGGCTCTGGGCTGATGGCTCGGAGCCTGGAGCCTGTTTCCTATTCTGTGTCTCCCTCTCTCTCTGCCCCTCCCCCGTTCATGCTCTGTCTCTCTCTGTCCCAAAAATAAATAAACGTTGGAAAAAACCCAAGGGGTTTCACAAAGCTGCCAGAATGAATCCAAGACAGGAGAAGGTGCATCTTGGTGGGCGTGATCACCACATGGAAAACAGAACTTCAATTTATACAACCATAAATTAGGTGTCCTTACATCTTGACTAGATGCCAGAAACATTGCAAAATTCCTAATGCAAATCTCAAAAGCAAATCATCAAATCAATATTAAAATTAACATAAAACTTCCTTACAGATACACCGGCTTTTTTAAAGCTTTGTTAAAATTCCACTAAAATTAACAGTTACACATACAAATCTAAACATTAATTTTTCTATTTCTGTCTATAAATATGAGTTAAGAATGTAATATCTGTTGGGTTCCTGGGTGGCTCAGTCGGTTAAGCAGTCAACTTCAGCTCAGGTCATGATCTCAGTCTGTGAATTCAAGCCCTGCATCAGGATCTGTACTGACAGCTCAGAGCCTGGAGCCTGCTTCAGATTCTGTGACTCCCTCTCTCTCCTGCCATCTCCCCCACTTGCACTCTGTCTCTCTCTCAAATATAAATAAACATGAAAAAAAGAGTGTAATATCTGCAATAAAAGGCACACAAAAAAAATCAACTGCTACTACAGTCAATATTATATGATTTTATAACTTATTATTATTAACTATATTGTTTAGTTTATTTCATTTTTAAATCATGATACCTATAATAATTCTCAAAGACTAAGAAAATGTGGCTAGTCACGTAGTTTTGTTTGTTTACTCAAAGGGACAATATCAGAGAAACATAAGAGCGACAACATTTAAGTATTAGTCTGATAACTGAGTTACAATCAAGCCTTACTAAATGTCCATGAGACCTTAAAATCTCATTTCTAGTGATAACCTTCTATATAATTATTGTTATAAAAGGCAAAATGAAAGCCAATTTAGGTCTTTTCACCCAGGAAAACTTTTAGACCAAATTAATCTAGGATAAAAGAAATAGAAATCTATAACTGACTCCACAATCTTTCTGTTGTTTCCAGATACACTTCCAATTTGGGAAGTGTCAAACTGATAAAGCAGAATGGCCAACAGATTTAAGCCCATATTTAAATCTGAAGTACGGGTGCTTGGCTGGTTTAGTCAATACAGCATGTAATTCTTGATCTCAGGATCATGAATTCAAGCCCCACACTGGGCGTAGAGCTTACTTAAAAAACTTTTTTAAAAAAAATTAATAAGTAATATTAATAAGTAATATTATTTAAAAAAAATAAATAACAAATATTTGAAGTAATATCGTAACAAGAAAGTAGAAAGAACAAATGTGATAGCAATATCACACACACACACACACACACACACACACACACACACACAATGCCAGAATTCTACTTACCTCATGGGCTAACATTTTATAGAGTTCTTCTCTAGTTACAGAAATTCTTTCTCTGTCTGTACTGTCCACAACAACAATTACAAACTAAAATAATTACAAAAAAATAGTGATTACACAATTCAATATTCATAAAATTTATAAAGTACTTAATTGATTTACAGACCACAAATACCAAGAAATTAGAGCCTCATGGTATGGTATTACTGGAAAACCAGAGATACCTTCTATACACATTGTGAAGCCTGAAGGTTTGATCCATTTCTATTCAAATATCATTTGCTAATTTTTAAGAGAAAATAAGAGAAAAAAGAATACAATGCTAACACTATTAGAATGTTAGTTCTACTACTCCGTTAATATTCTACTCCATTAATACTACTCCGTTAGTATTCTAACCAATATACATGTTTGTTTCTAAATTAATGTCTTGAATGGTAATGAGCTTGTATCCAACTATGTGCACCACAGTCAATATGAAAAAAATACAGTGAAGCTACTATAATGTTGTACACTAATTAGACTTTAATAAAAAAATCTTACTGAGAAAATATATGAAAAAGAATACATTATAATCCCAGATTTTAGATATTTCTACAGATATTATTTATTAATATCGATCTGAAACTCTAAAAGGGCATGATATGGGAGTAATGTGACAGTTAAATCAACTTTTAAAAATCAACAAATGAAAGAATACATCTATTTAAATCCATGCTTCTCTTGTTTATGTAAATGTTACCTGCTGTCTGCAAGCACAACTCTTTCTTGAACTAATGATGAGACTAGGGTCAGAAGATGTAGTGAGACCTGTGAAGGAGCCAAGGAGGACTGAGCTACACTGTACCTCTTCTTCACCTGCACGAGTACCAAGAACCACCATGGAAGCAGAACCCGAAAACAGTCACTTTATGATGGCACTGGTGATGCCCAGGTTAACTCTGCTTATAAAGAACAAGCACTATGGATTTTTTAAAACCAGCTTTCCATTTCCAGATAAACCACTGTTAATTTTCAGAGTCTTTTCTATTTATCAGATGTCATTAACCATATGGCAGATGGCTAAGAGAACTGCTACTTTACCTCTTCTCTCACTTGACACTCACCTAAGACCCATCCTATTCTAAGGCATTTTAATAAAACCATTAATTTTTAAGATGTTGTCATAAATTTGATACTTGCAGCATTATACACAGAAATACTAACCATATATACCTTTCCTTCTCCAAAATACATGATCAAATGCTTAGCAAAGTGTTAGGGGATCAGGTCATTAGAGACAATTAATAGTGTCTTAATGATACAATATGCATCTTTATATACATTTGGAGTTTTATAATCAGTACTACAAAAACAACTGTCACAATAAATTGAACTTTCAATTTACAAGGTCTATACAATAAAGGTCTCAAATGTCATAGGTCTGAATTGCCTCTTGGGAAATAACATATAAATAAAAACATATGATTTATGTCCAAATTGCTTTATAACCAAAAGAAGAATTATTTCATGTGCAATTGTGCTGCATAAAAGAACATACATAGTAAAGGTCTGGCCAGGATTCAAGCCTCCAGAACCCTTTCATTTAACTAGGATTTTCTGTATGCAGACAAAAATAAATACTAAGAGAGAAATAAAATGACAAAGCGTGAGATTGAACTTACTGTAAAAACAACTATTTAAGATGAGTTCTGGGATCCATACATAATCAGACTAATCAATCACCCCTTCATTCCAATTCTCCCTATAGACAGGTTCAATGAGAGTGGATATACAGAACAATGACCCTGAAACAGGGAATCAAAGATTCTATCATGTTTAAATTCTACTTTTATTAACATATTGGGATATTTCAAAAAGATTAATTATAAGAGTTCACATCTAGAAGATATTTCCCAAGCATTCTGTTCTTAGAAGTTTTAGTATATTAAGAAACATTACCTCTGTGTTAGTATAGTAAGTGTTCCAGGAAGAACGAAGAGATTCTTGACCACCAATATCCCACATTAAGAAACGTGTATTATTAATCACTATTTCTTCTACATTACTTCCAATTGTAGGTGATGTATGTACAACTTCATTCATAGAACTAGAAAAAAAAAAGTTCAAATATATTACAATTAGCAGGGAAGCTAGATTGTTTGAGCATTTTGTAATCAAAGGATAAATCAGCATGAGTTTTCATATTTTATATCCAAATGGCTCTTTCCCACTAGCTCAGAAGAGTAAGGTAAGGGTTGGGGCATCTGGGTGGCTCAGTCCTTAAGCATCTGACTTTGGCTCAGGTCATGATCTCATAGATCATGAGCTTGAGTCTCACACCGGGTGAGCACATGCCCTGCCTTGGGGGGAGCATGAGCTCCACTTCAGGTGAACACAAGCCCTGCCTCAGGTGAACCCCACTTCTCTGTCTCTGTCCTTCACTCACTTGTGCCCTCTTTTTCTAGAAAAAAAAAAAAAAAAAAGGAGTGAGGTAAGGGTTTAAACAGGGATGGAACTAGGTAGTGGACGATCCCGAATACTCTAGATTGAATCCCAGAAACTATATAAACAATATTTCTCTACTTTCTATAAGTAAAAAAACTGAACAACATGCTCTACATCATATAAATTTCTAGCTGTCCTACAACAGTTGCTTAAATCTGGCTCCTGGTTTAGAGTCAACCTGACTTCTTACAGAATATTTTAGGTTCCATATAACTTTTTATTGCTTTTGCTAATCAAATATTACCCAGGCAGAAAAAATAATTATGAATGATAAAATAAAAATTTTAAACTAGTTAATACTTACAACTGGTAAAGAATGGTAGTTTTCCCTGCATTATCCAGCCCAACAATGATAACTTTGTGCTCTGAAATAAAAAAAAAAAAACATTAATCATTTACTAATTAAAAACAAAAATAGGCCATTTAAGTTCTAACCGTGAATTTTAGGCATCAACTGGGTACATAGTGGGGTGGGGTAAATTAGAAAAAAAGGTCAGCCTTTAAATCTGGTAGCAGAAGGCCAGGTCCCATCATAGATAACCGTAAACTGAGTACATTTAGACCACAGAATTGTTCTAACACCCAATCTAACCAAATTCTAAGGTTAGAATTTGTTCTAACCAAATCTAACGATGTATGGCTATGGTGGCAGCGACTCCCTCTCCCTTGGCTTCTATGACACCACTTTCTCCAAGTTCTCTTCCACTCTCTCTTGATATATATAGATTTTTTACCACAGATTCCTCTTCCTTGGGTCTTCCTTCAAAAACATTCATGTTTCCCAAAGCTGTCTTCTTCCATTCTCTTCACATTTTATTTAGCAGGCGCTCTTAGGGCCTATCTAGTTCTATGCTATCTAAAAACTATTCCAAAGATAGTATGTGGAAGAAGCTCATTTCCAAAGATGGTGTCTGTATAGTCTCCTCCCTTCCCTGATTCCATGTGAATCTGAGCTGGTCCTGTGACTCACTTTTAACCAAAAGAATATAGCAGAAGTGATGCTGTGTGACTTCAAGCCTAGACCATTACAAACCTTGCAGCTGCCTGGCTCTCTTGGACAACTATCCTTGGAGTAAACTGGACACCATGTAACAAGTCCTACTATCCCCAAACCACTATATACGTAAGTCAGAAAGCCTAAGCTGATCATGTGGCTTGACCCTATGGAGACAGATCACCACATGGTTGCCCCAGCTGTTCTAGCCATTCCAGATGAGATGCCAGACACACAAATAAAGAAGCCATCTTGGATATGTAGCCAGGTCAAACTATAGATGACTCTAGTTCTAGATGTTAACTGCAACCAAATGAGAATCCCAAGCTAGAACTTCCTAGCTGAGCTCAGTCAAATCACAGAACCATGACAGATAAATGATAAATTATTGCTTTAAGTCACAAAATTTAGGAGCGGTTTGTTACGCAGCGGTAGATAACACAAGCACTATGGAAAAAGACATGCAATGATGTGATCTTGGGCAAATGACTTATTTTTCTAATCCCTAAGTTTTCTCGCTATAAAACAGGGACAACAATACCTATCTTTCAGAGTTGTATAATGATTAAGATAGCACATGAGCAGTGCCAACCACTAAGAAAGATTGTTCCTAATCCCAAATCTCTCCTAAACTCCAACCTATCTAGTAGACACAGTGCCACTCAACATATCCCAAACCCAACATTCAAACCTTTTTCTAATTCTATTCTACCTAATTTGCTTAATGGCATTACCACAAATTCAGTTGCCCCTGGAGCTTATTCAATGTTTCCCTCAACCCCAACAACTAATTTGTCACCAAGTTCTATGGATTCCACCTCAAAAATATATCCTGAACCTGCCTCCTTTCACCGGTCCTAGTTGTAGTCCTTCTCATTTCTTATTGTAAAACCTTCCCTACGTAGACTGTCTCCAATCCACCTTCCCACTGTTTTTACAGTAATTGTTCTACACTACAAAGCTGATACCACCACTCTTATTGAAATGATGGCTCTCCATTTTGACAGAAAGATACGGCACAAGTTCTCAGCCTTGTAAATAAAGACAGTCATAACTGACTAAGCTCCGGCTTTATCTCTCACCACTACCACCAGGTACCTAGGCTGAAATTCAAGCCATTCTCCCCACATAAGCTGCCACATGTCTTTACAGCAAACATTTCTCTACCTCTACTCGGTTTTTCCCTGAGCCAGAATTATCTTCTCCAATTCTCCATTTAGGGAATTCCTACTAATCTTTTAAGTTTAGTTTTCCCCCCAAAATCACTTTCTCATGCTTTTCCACAATATCTCTAACTAGCACTTATCATTAACTATTTACACATACACTAACTAATCTTCTCAGCCCAATGAGGCATGCTTTATGCGTATAGATCCAAGGCCAATCATCTTTATAATCCCAGTCACTACAACTTTTCCTGGCGCAAGGTACTCAACAAATGTTGAATTAATTACTATTCATTCTATAAATAATAGATGTTGAGGATTGTAACACCTCACAGTAAGGATATCTTTGAGAAAAAGCCTTTTCAATGAGATGGCATAAGTTTTCCAATAGTTGCCATTTACCGTAGAGGGGAATTCCTATTATACAAAAATAGGAAGATCAAGTAAATAGAAAATTTTAATACAGTCTATTTTCTCCAATCACTCATTTCTCTGAAGAGAGGGCAGGCAGCTTAGGACCACTAGGGTTCTAAAGGGAGATGATCATGTTTCCCCCATGTAGGTTCTTAAAAACAATTTTAAAGATGCAGGGCCCAGTACATTTAATCTTTCGAGGTGACTAGGGTAAAGGAACTGAGAAAATGATCAAATACAAAGATGATACTTATTTTAAATAAAGGGTTAATAACATGTAGAGGGCTTGCTAAGGGAAGTTCAGTTGAATGAACACCAAAAGGCCTCATCAAGTGATGTTTCTCTGGTGAATTTACCTAGTGCATGGCCCTTTATCTCCCAGGTCCACAAACTCAATCCTGCTAGTATCTCAGAGTAGACAGGGCTCAGAGAAAGCAACTCACAGAAATGACATATACACAAGAATGCCAAAATGAGTAACATACAATGAGATCAAATGTTCAAAACTAACCTGGCAAGTGCAGTCTCTCCCTAAGGAAAAGCAATAGGGTGGTCAGATTATTTGGGGAACATGGGCTCCCGTCAAAGGGTGTGTTTTATAAGCTTAATGACTGGATATATCCATCTTCACATTAGGGCCATACCTGCATCAGGGCCAGATTATAGAGTTCTTGAAGGAAGGTACCATTTTACCTGGAAAGTTTTTAAAATGCATGGCAATTCTGCCTAATTCTGTATTTTTCTATGCCCCCCAGAATAAGCATTCTTCTTTTAATGGTGTATCTCTTCTTCACTTCTATTACTACAACCACCTATAAACATTTTAATTAAGCAGAATTCACATCAGGCTATACTGTGATCTCTGGCTTGGATGAAAATTTTTAGCTTCCCATTTGAATACTAATTTTTAATAATACCATTCTCAAAATGCCAACTATTTTTAGTTTCAGGAATATCATTTTCTTTTTTATTATTTTTTAAAAAAAAAATTTTTTTTCAACGTTTTTATTTATTTTGGGGACAGAGAGAGACAGAGCATGAACGGGGGAGGGGCAGAGAGAGAGGGAGACACAGAATCGGAAACAGGCTCCAGGCTCCGAGCCATCAGCCCAGAGCCTGACGCGGGGCTCGAACTCACGGACCGCGAGATCGTGACCTGGCTGAAGTTGGACGCTTAACCGACTGCGCCACCCAGGCGCCCCAGGAATATCATTTTCTAACCTCCACTGTATCACCTGGACTAAATTTAGACAGACTAGACTAAGACAGACTAGACAGACTAGACTTTAGGCCAATACTCAGGAAGAAAATACAATTAATCTGACCCATGTGAGAAATATCATTCTAAAAAGTATCAAATTAATAGGGGCAAAAAGCAACAGTACAAATATAGGCAAGAATCTATGACAAATAACTACAGACTGACTTAAAAAAGTGTGTGTGTACAAATAACACATACAGACACCCCAAATACAAAAAGCATTGTCTGTTACAAAGTCCTTCATCACTTAAAGAGGCTGGAGTTTTATTCTAACCATGCTTCCATTTTTCAAAGTATTTTGCTACATTTCATTTGTAACTGCTATCAGAGCCTGTGGTACACTGTTTTGAGCATTCACACAGAGCCCCTTAACAGCTGAAGACCCCTTAACAGCTGAAGATGAATTTGAATTTAAAGGGGGATGGGAGCCACTTGGTATTATCTCAGCCATAAAGTAAAAGATGGTTCAAATGAGTGCTATCTTTTTTCCATTAAATGAAGTGTAACCCCTAAATGATAAGAATGATTTAAAGAATTGTCTAAAAAATTCTAAAAGGAGTTTCTAGGGGCACCTGGTTAAGCGTTGGTTAAGTGTCCGACTCTTGATTTCGGCTCAGGTCATGATCTCATGATCAAGCCTCACTTTGGGCTCTGCTTGGGATTCTCTCTCTCCCTTGTTCTCTAAACAAATAAACTTAAAAAAAATAAATAGGGGTGCCCAGGTCACTCAGTTGGTTAAGCGTCCAACTTGGGCTCAGGTCATGATCCCACAGTTCAGAGTTTAGGCCCTGTGTTTGGCTCTGTGCTGACAGCTCAGAGCCTAGAGCCTGCTCCGGATTCTGTCTCTCCTTCTCTCTCTGCACCTCCCCTGTTCCCACTCTGTCTCTCTCTTTCTCAAATATAAACATTAAAAAATAGTAATAATAAATAAATAAAAGGCGTTTCAATACATATTTTGAGTAATAGCAGGCGTATATGTAGAAAAGCTCTCCAGCCTTCTAAAAAGCTTTTGGGGCACCTGGGTGACTCAGTCAATTAGGCATCTAACTCTTGATTTCAGCTCACATCACGATTCCAGGGTCGTGGGATTGAGCCCTGCATCAGGGTCCACACTGAATATGGAGCCTGATTAAGATTCTCTCTCTCCCTCTCTAAAATAAAATTCTAAAAAAACATTTTTTAATAAAGTAAAATAAAATAAAATGATAGCTTTTAAGGTGAAAACTTACCTAGCTTTGTTTTTTAAAACGGTCTCCTTATTTTAGCCATGCCCATAGGACTTATTTCCTGATTCCAACCATAGTACTTTTCTACCACTTCTCTAAGGAAGGACTACTAGACAAAAAAAATACTACAGAAAGATTCTTTATCATACCTGACCACAAGCTGAACATAAGCAAGGTAAAATTGCTGTGAACAAAACCCACTGTGCAATAACACACAGACATAAACTGAGATAAAGCACATGGCAGAAGAGGCTCATACCAGAGGATTCCATCTTCTCATAACACAAGTTAGTTGCCTGCTGAG